TGTTGTCACTTAACCACTTCTTGAGTTCACTAAACAAATGGTACTCTGTGCCAGGCGGTGGTGGCACACGCCTTTAATCCCGGAACTCAGGAGGCAGAAGCAGGCGGATCTCTGTGAGTTCGAGGCCAGCCTGGTCTACAAGAGCTAGTTCCAGGACAAGCATCAAAAGCTACAGAGAAACTTTGTCTAAAAAAAAAAAAAAAAAAAAAAGGAGGAACAAATGCTACTTTGTAAGGACCATAAAGGAATACCTGACACATTATAAATATTTCTAATTTTAAGCGAAATAATTATGAAAGGCACTTAACACAATGTAATGAGAAGTGCGCCCTTATTACAAGCACATTTATAGGCACCATGTTATTACCCATACAACATCCCATGGTATGGATAGCCGTGACTCACTCAACAGTTTACCCGCTGCTGGATAGCGAACCTTAAAAAGATCATTTAGATGGTCCTGTGTTGTTCCTAAACTAGTGGTTCTATGGTTCTTAATGTATATATGTATATATAATCCCTTTAAAAGGTTATACTCACATGTGGGCTTGTCTTATTCTTTTCTATGTGCCTATTAAGCCCTGTGCTTAAGCTTGTTTGCAAATATAGGGACTGGAGAGATGGCTCAGCAGTTAGAAGAACTTGCTGCCCTTGCAGAGGACCCATACTGGGGTTCTAGCACCCACATGGCAACTACCAATTATCATAACTCCAGTTCCAGAGGATCCAACACCCTCTTCTGGCCTCTGTGGGCTCTGTATGCAAGCAAAACACCCACACATATACAAAGAAATAAATCCTTTTTTTAAAAAAAAGTATTTACTATAAAAATTTTTAATCAACTCCAGATCTGCTTTAATATGTTATAAATGTGTGTATGTATGTATATGTGTATAATTATATATACATACAATAAAACACTACTGCGTCTCAGAATAAACAAAGGCAAACATGGTGCTAAAAGCAAAATATCCCTAATTTCAGAAGATAGAAGACCCTTCCCAAACTGTCCTACGTCTACTAAGTTGCCTGAGAAACTGGGCACAGGAAGAGGGCACCACCTGAGTGCTAGCCGCGGGGTACAACGGAAAATGTAGTCCAGAACCGGAAAGCCTATTAAAAAGAAAAAAACTGTGTGTGTGCGGGGGGATGAGGGGTATGTCGCGATTAGGCTGAAGGCTGGGACTCTTGGTCTGTGACTTCTGCTCTGGATCCTCCAGATAGCTCTGGATCCTCCACTTGTTCCCTCCTTGGTCTGGCTGCCTTCTGCCCACAGCCGGATTACCACATCAATACCAACGGCTGCCCAACACCAGAAGGTGGCGCAAGCGCAGAAAGCGTCGCTTGTGCTGCTAGAGAGCGAGTTTACGTTGCAGTCTTTTCTGGGAAATGTAGTCTCGAGGCTGCCAAACGGTCTAATCAGGTGTAGCAACGTTCTGTGAGCCGTGAGACAGGCGCCTATGTGCTGAGAGGTGGAAGGGTGTTCGCATCCTGTAGCATTCTTCTGAAAGTCTCACGCGATTCCTTCTCTATCTATGAATACGTGGCCATGGCTGTGTATGCAGTAACTCTTGTGACCATGTGTGGTGTTTGATTTTTAATTCTGTGTGGTTAGTTTCGTATGTGACTGGGACCGGTTAACCGTGGATGCACACCTGTGGAAATGTGACTGAAAAGTTTTCCATTTATAGAAGATCTCCAAATAAAACGTCACTTAATGGGGGGGGGGGGAACTACCGTTTTACACCTAATATTGAAGCACGGTAATTTATACACAAGAAGACGAGAAATAAAGTTTGTTTTGATATGATTAGCCATGGTGTATCTTCTCAGCAATAGAGCACTGATTAAGACCATTTTATTTTTACCCAGGTGTGCGACCCTGGTTTATGCATGTGCACTCCATGAATGCAGTGCCAACAGAAGCCAGAAGGGTGCATAGATCTGCCGGAACTGGAGTTACAGGCAGCCGTGCACCACCATCTTGGTACTGGGAACCAAGCGTGGGTCCTCTGCAAGAGCAGAAAATCTTCTGAATCACTGAGCATTCTCTCCAGCTCCAAAGTAAAAAAAAAAAAAAAAAAAAAAAAAAAAAAAAAAAAA